GTGTAGCTGTAAACATGCTTTTGTTGATGCTGTGAAGCTTTTTGTAGAATTCTGTACCTGTTTACCAAACCTACATATTCCCAGAACATATAACCCGATCACATGAAAGTGTGTATAAATAGTACGCCAAATAAAAACAAAAACTTGTGGTATTGATACGCAAAAATTGGCTTTGGCGTGTATATGCTACACAATGGGTAGGATTGGGTTTGTGGGGTAGATGCGTATCATATGTACGTGAAAACTGCATATCATATGCACGCCAACCAATTTTGTATCATATGCATGCGAAAATTACGTATTATATGTACGCCAAACACGTGCGTATCATACGCACGCCAAAGTAAATTTTTGCGTATCAATACCACAAGTTTTTGTTTTTATTTGGCGTACTATTTATACGCATTTTTTAATTAGACCGGGCTCGAACATAACATTTGTAAGGAGCGGGGGAAAGAAACAGAAGCGATTTGCCTTATTAGAAATCAAAATGATTTGAAAATTGATATTTCAAGGTAAAAATCTTACATACAGATGATTTAAACATACAGAAAAAACTAAAACACATTTAGTAAGACGTTATTTATTACTTTAAAAAAAGAGAGACTTACAGTACAGTACAGTACTGTACTTACATGGAAAATTCCCCTAGCTAGGGTCAGCTCCTATAGAGTTCACCTCCAGACTGCTCTAACACACCAGCCCGAAAGTTTCTAGTAATCCTGAATTCCAAATGTGTGTTCGATTAAGTCAGGGGTAGGCAAGTTCGGTCCTAGAGAGCCGCAGTCCTGCAGAGTTCAGCTCCAACCCTGAAAACAAAACTCACCTGCCTATAGCCTTAGTAATCCTGAAGACATTGATTAGCTTGTTCAGGTGTGTTTGAATAGGGTTGGAGCTGAACTCTGCAGGATTATTAGTATGCATGTTTATGTCAGCACACCTGGGTGTCTGTTTAAGTCAGGGGTAGGCAAGTTCGGTCCTAGAGAGCCGCAGTCCTGCAGAGTTCAGCTCCAACCCTGAAAACAAAACTCACCTGCCTATAGCCTTAGTAATCCTGAAGACATTGATTAGCTTGTTCAGGTGTGTTTGAATAGGGTTGGAGCTGAACTCTGCAGGACTGCGGCTCTCTAGGACCGAACTTGCCTACCCCTGGATTAGGTCATCTCTGCCTTAGAATAACCCATTTTTACATGTCATGACCCGAGATGCTTGTGCTTGTGAGATGCTTTTTTTTTTTCAGGCAGCAAACCTTCATTAAAGAGAGGGTATTGCAGAAAGCAACTTACCGTGACATTAAATCTGGACTCTGAGTTCATTTAAGCAAACATTGCTTACTCGCAGCTACTGGTTCCAGAAACACAGTCTGGAGTTAGTTCAGTGTATGCATGTCCACAGTGAGCAAAGAAAGACATTCTCAGAGCCCCGAATCCAGGAATCACAGTGAAATTATGCATACCACACTTTAGTGATGCAGAACTGTTTTAATGACTGTGGATGAGGATTATAAACCAGTCTATCATTGCAAAGATAATATGGCTGTGCATGTTTTGTGTTTTAAGTTTAGCCATTTTGTTTGCATATCTCTGTTAAGTTGATATTTATTACACGTGTTGCATTTTCTACTGCAGAAATTATATTGTATAGAAAATCTCCTAGTGCAAAGAACAAAAAAGAAACAATTTTGTTTTGAATGCAGCATTTTGAATGCAGATCCATGGTGTGTGAGATGGGAAAATGTTGGATTTAACATCTGTGAGGCAAAATAAAATAAACATTACTGTATGCCATATTAATGCTTTCATAAATAATTTCAATATTGTGCATGATCTGTGATGTCATGCCCTCTGGATCCTCATCAGAATGGCATGCGTGTTCTGAATACCTCTGAAGCTAAGAGACGTTCATCTGAAATAAATGATTCTTGGAACATTCTGGAGCAGTTGCTGTGGTTAACTTACCTTAAAAGTTAAGCGGAGTTAAGTGGAGCTAAAAGTTTAGGTTACTGTACATCAATTTCGGCGTCCTGGGGTGTTACAAAGTATTTGTGAAATCTAGCTAACAAAATATATATTGTGTGTTGGAGTGGTCCAGACGCTACAGAGGATATGTTGCTCTTGTAAAACATTGGGGAAGAAAAACTGAGAGTAACATAATGCCAAGACTACCTGCATTCTGAAGAAAAAAAATGGTTACACTTTATTTTGATAGTCCACTTTAGACATTCTACTAACTACTTTGCAACATGTCAACTAATTCTCATTAATTTGCCACTACATGTCTACTAACTCAGAGTAGACTGTTAGGTTAGGTTTAGGGTTAGTAGAATAAGTTGACATATACTTGCAAAGTTTCTCATAGTCAGTATGTTGTATGTTGTGGACCCATCAAAATAAAGTGTTAGAAGATATTAAGCAGACAGTCTACTAATACTCTAATGACTGCTAGTTGACATGTAGTTGCAAAGTTACTTACTGTAAGTAGAATGTCTAAAGTGGACTATCAAAATAAAGTGTGACTAAAAAACTAAGTTGTGTAACCATTTTTGATGATTTTAAACTCTTAATCAGAAAATACTCTTCTGAGAAGCTGTACCGTTGTACATTTCAGTCATAAAGGAATTATGAGCTCTGAAATGAAACATTTTCATTTGCAAAAGAGGAAGTATTTTGTTCATTTGCGCTGTCAGGCCATTCCATGAGCTGACTGGAGTCTGTGGTCAATTAAAAAAGTCCCTGGAAGTGTTCTAGTTGAGCTGCAGAAAGTGGAAATGTTGACTTTATAGCCTTTGACACAGCCTCACTTCTCTTGTTTAACAGGAGGAGACACAGTGTCAATGCCAGTTAGCTTTGCCAGCAGTTCTTCTCTACTGGACAGGAAAATGGTGGAGCAGGAGAAAGTATACAAGACATAAAATGCCTTAGAGAGAGACATGGTATCTTACCTCTGGGCTGCACCCATGTCGTCTAAATGAACATTCAGTATGTCCCGTTATTGAACGATCTGTTAACCACCATTAATTATCCAACACATAACCAGTCATTGTCAGAGTAGTACACCGCTAATAAGTGCAATCTTTGCCTTGGCAGTGAGTTATTCACCCAATTTGGTAAATAAGGATTAGCCTTGAATTATGTGTAATACCCAGAAGAATTATCTGGGGTATCATTCAGAGAAATTGATGGCAGTTATTTCCAGTTTCTAGAGGTGTTATGCTCATGAACATCTGAAAATTGCCATGTTTTACTGCAGCTCAATAATATAGATCCCTGTTTGTCTGTCCAAAACCACCACGGATGACTTCTTTCTTTTTCTTCATGTTTCCATGGCTACTCTCTTTGTATTGTTACCTTAGGAAACCTTTTGTATGAGATGCACCTCTGTGAGACTTAATTCTTTACCTGAAATAACCAGAAGGTTATGCTCTAAATGTAAATATATGTAAAGAATGAAACATTTTATTTTTCATTTTGTCTGTACATTCTGATTAAAGTGGTATATTTGCATTGTTTTAATTTTAAACTTTTTCTTTTACAATCAGTAAAACATATATATTTATTCTTTTGGCATTTCTATCACAATTTAACAAACCACCTGCAGATCATGAACGGTTCAGAAACCCCTGGGAATCTCAGATTTAATGACTTTCCAATGGCCTTTCCATGTGTTGCCAACTTTTTTTTCTCTTTCCTTTAAAACAAATGTCACAGTTTGTTCCTACTGTCTTAGACAAGCTTGGCTTTTAACAATGTTGGTTTTTATGCTATTAGATTAGTAGATTAATTAACCTAAATAGTGTAAACACTATGGCACTTTGAAAACATTGCTTTCTGTGTTTGAGTGACTCATCAGATAATATTCTCTCCCAGTTGGCTTGGTGCTGCTAGTTCCCCAAAATTACACACTTTACCTTAAAATGTGTCAGTATATTCAATGTGACTTATTAAGAGTATTTAAGAATAGAAGCTTTCCACTAAACATTCCTAATGCTGGACTGACTGTGAGTCTGAGAAGTGTATTAGGCCTTATCTATTTGATTTGACCCTGGGGGTAAAAAGAAAGCAATGAATGAAAATTTGAATGAATATTTGAGTTTAAGAGATGTGAGCATGGAAGATACACTTTTCCTCTCTCAGACTGGAAAGAGCCCAAAGCCAGAAGGTTTGAGCCAGAGATTAGTCAACATCCTCTCTATTACAGCACACGCTGCACATTTTTATGTCCAACTTGTCATTTTTGTATACTTTTTATGTATTTATCAGACGTAATTATATATTTGGCCTATACTGGTCATTCATATTTTGTCTAAGATTTTCAAAATGGATACTTGGTCTGTAGTTGTGTTTACTCCTTTTTTTTTTTTTTTTTACATATTCACTTCTATGAGGAAGTACTCAAGCATATATTATGCATACTATCATATAAACTTACTTGTTCAAATTTATTGTAAGAAATCAGTTTTAGAATAGCTTTGAATAAACATACATGAGTGAAACTGAACCTGTTAATTCCATGTATAAATTTTTTTATATCAAAATAGATTCTTAGTTCTTAAACATCTAAAAGAATACCTAAAACATAATTTGATTCCTGAAATATTGTCAGGGAAAATGTAACATACTATCCCACTGCTTAAAGAATACAAGTGTTCAGCTACTGAAAAGCTAAACAAAAATAACAACACTATAACTACACTGGCTATTCATCTTTTTAATACTGGTCCAAAAGTGTCTGGATTTCCAAAGGTAATAAGCTAATAAAAGCTTAAATTGCCAATAGTTAATTGAATATACTTTAATATGCTTAAACTATTGTCTTGTTCATTGGATACACACTATATTATATAAACTAAAGTACATTAAAAAAAAAAAATGTTTCATAAACTGCTAAAGAGATTTTAACATTGTACTGCACTGTATATTACAGTTTGTGAGTGTATTTTAACAGGATTTCTGTTGTAACTATATTCTTCTAAAACTCACATCTTTTTGCTCTTTCTCTAGAACTCCATCCGCCACAATTTGTCCCTGCACACGCGTTTCATCCGTGTGCAGAACGAGGGAACTGGCAAGAGTTCGTGGTGGATGTTGAATCCTGATGGAGGGAAGCCAGGGAAAGCTCTTCGCCGTAGAGCTGTCTCAGTGGACAATGGCACCAAGCACTTGAAGAGCAAAGGGCGAGTGAACCGTAAAAAAATAGCTATGAAAGCAGAGCAGGGTACAGAGACATTGTTGGGGTTCTGTAGCTCTCCAGAGCATTGCAGTCCCACCAGGAAGTCTGGAACAGGTGGTGTGGTGGTTAGGGAGGAGTTTGAGACCTGGACGGATCTCCATTCATTTGGCAGCTCTTCAGCTTCAACTCTTAGTGGTCGTCTATCACCTATACTAGCCGAGGGGGAATTGGGGGAACCTGATGTGGAGAGAATTTCCTGTTCGGAATCTCCACACCTGTACCCCAGTCCCTCCAGTGTCCACTCACCTGCTTCCCACTGTCCTGCAGATCTCAGAGCAACAATTAGCTACCAGCAGCACCAATCCCCATGTCATAAACAGCCATCTTACCAATACACCAGTGACATGAAGGGGCAGGACTCCAGCTGTGAAACAGTTTATGGCCAGCCAAATGTTGACCTGCTTCAGCACCACTCCTCCATGCAGACTATAGAGGAGAACTCCAGTGGTATGCAGGCCTACAAGGGCACAAGCACTCTCCAGAGTTTGCTGACCATAGGAGGACCCCAGTTCTGTGTCAAGGACATGATACTTGGAAAAGAGAATGTGGTCCACTCAATGATGGTTGCTCAAGGATCCAGAGATCTGCATCACAGTGAGAATAATGACCCTACCACTAACCCTTCCTCCAAACCAATTCACGGCCACAACATTATTCGGAACTTGAGCCAGGACCATCAGCCTGCATTGGTCCACTCTCAGCCCAGTGATGGACACATGCAGTCGTACATACATAAAGCCCCTTATCTATATAGTTCCCCAGTCAATGTACATATTCCAGCATCCTCCATGCTTCCCCCAAACCCTGCAGGTATGCAGGGAATCTCACAGGACACCTGCCACCTTGCTACAGCTCCATACCCACAACACCATCCTTACATTTACACAGATCCACATCAGCACAGTATGGCATATGGACTGTACTGCCAACCTCAGGGGACGGGGACAGGTTACCACCACAACTTCCACCACCCTCACCAGCTCTACCCACATGAGCGGTTGCCAGCAGACCTGGATATGGATGTATTCTACAGCAGCCTGGACTGTGACATGGAGTCTATACTCTTACATGACATTATGGACTCGGGAGAAGAGATCGACTTCAATTTTGATTCCTCACTGACACAAGGAATGGGCATGGGTTTTGGGTTTACGAGCACACAGCAGAGCCACAGCAAACAGAGCTGGGTGCCTGGATAAATGCCATAGAATCATCAAAGATTTTTTTCTCAAGACATAACTACCTACATGCCAGCCAGCAGTGGGGTCCCAACACTCCACCACAATTCAGGGTGAATACACTGTGCTGACACTGAAATGAAATCAAGATAGAAATCTCTCTTTTGAAAACCGACTTTGAATTTATGTTCTATGTTGTGTGTCCATGTATTGAAAACCGCTCTGTTCCCTTTTGTTCCATTTGCTGTGAGTGAAACTCCTTTAGTTTTGCTGACTGAACCATGATGACAATCTAAGCTATGTTATCCAACATTGTTTTGTTCTTCAGTCAATGTTATCTTGTGCACTTTAACTACATCGAACAAATCCATCTTTATAAGTTTGCCCTCCGAAAGGAGGAATGCTTGGGACTCAAGTGTAGCAAAAACCTGGACCCATTCCAATTTTAGTGAACAATTTCTCATAGGTGCTACATACTGCCATGTGTATGTGGAGTATCAGTGATTACTAATTCTCATTCTCCACCCCAAACATGTCTCTTGTCCTCTTGAATAAAGCAGGTGGACATTCAGTGGGGTCTGCCATTGTGTCAAAAAGTCAATTTTATTCCTCTACATTTGTATCTAACTCCATCTCCCCATGTCTAAACACCATTTTTAATTCGTGTGTTGTGGCAGCAGGACATTTTTAACACATTATTATTATTTTATATACTTATTTATTTAGTTGTGAACCGTTGACCTTGTGATTTTAAACCCACAATCATAGACCATATCCTGTTCATGCTTTATAACTGTAGTGCTGCTCTAAATAGCTCGCTGCATTACAAAATTATAAAAGGAAACTCTACTATGAGGTTCCTAATCTACTGGTATGCTGATACAGGCATATGATAAATAAATGGCAGTAGTCTATGAAACTGATGCGTCAGAGAGACTCTTTCTGGTTCTTTGTGTCTGTGTCCTGATACTTCATGTTGCTTTCTGTGTTTGAAATAGAATCATTGTTTTGTCACTGTATTCTGACTCTTATTTCGTACAAACAATATATTGAGAATATTGTATTATAGTTTTTAAGAAATTACAAGATGTTTATTGATTCCAGTGCTTATTTCTTTTTTAAGAGAATGTTTTCATCATTTGTTGAATTTGTTCATTTGTTAAATAAATGAGAAGATAATGCTGTCATATGGCTGAATGGGTTTGATCTTTTCTTCACTTTGCAAAAAAACATCAGGCCTTTGAGATGCTCAGATATGTTTATGTGTATGTCAATATGTGTGATCATACAGTAGTGTGTGTGAAACTGACATGTACTTCTCAGATAATTAAAGAACATGATAGAAAGAATAAAATATCAAAATCAAAACACAATGCACATTGACTGCATGTGTAGAGGATTGTAGACGCACAATTAGGAAGTTATGTAGTGTTACAGTAAACAGGTTATACATATTTAAATGTATATGATCAATATATAATAGATAAAATAGAAAGTAGTGTGTGTGTGTGCGTGCGTGCGTGTGTGTGTGTGACAGAGAGAGAGAGAGAGAGATGCTGCTGATGGGGGTGGGGTGGTGAGCATCTAATAAGGCTTGTTATCTCCTCTGAAGCTGGAGTTTGGTCACAGCTGTCATACTCCCATCTGAGGAAGTCACAGAGGGAGTGTCTCTCTCAGTACAGCCATATTGTTTTCTCACTAGGGAACTTCAGTCCCTCCTTTTTTGCAAGAGACTTGTGCTTTTAATTGACTCAATGTTGTCAGTCCTTCACTATAAAGAAGAGGAAGACTCAGATTAGTAGGAAAATGGGACATGCTGAGAGACAGATATAAAAGAAGCTGCCTATTAGCTTACTTATTGAGGCAAACATTATAGTGTGTCATATGGACTATGCTTATGATGATTTAGGCCCCCATCACACAGAACACATTTTTTGCCGTGAGAGGCACCTTTTTTTAATTGTTTTCAGTTGGCAGTGAGCGTTCTGCACGCTGTTTATGCGCCCTGTGCGCCTTGCGTTGGGCCCGGTTGCATGAAAGCCCTTATGCTAAGAAATCCCTTAGTAATAAGGTTAAGGGAGCCCTTAGTGAAACTTGGGTTGCAAGAAAAAAAACCTAAGGGTCAACTTAAGGAGCCTTAAGGCTGTCATTAAGTATTCCCCTTAATTGTTTAAGTGTTCCCTTAAGTGTTGCTACAAAGTCCTTAGTATCCATTTCACCTTAATAAATTTAAGGGACCAAAAGAGCTCCCTAAAGTCATCTCAGTATCTGCAGGATTTTAAAACTCAAATGTAAGACTTAAGACATTGTTTAAGACCTGCACAAATAAAACATCATATGAGCGCAGTAGGGTAATGACTATGGTAACATATTAAACTGTAAAATGACTGTAAAAAGTATGACTTACAGGTTTTCACAAAACAAAAAGTTGTATACAATTTTTTTATGTAAATCGACGATTTGTAACAATTATGATATCAATTTAAACAATTATTATTAATCAATTAGGCCTATTACATTAAATAAAAAATATAAATATAATTTGTCTTAATTGTTTAGATTTTTGTAATGCATTATCTTGTCGATCCACCTGTTCACATTTACAACTCTGCTTGTTTGCAGCGTCAAAACATGGGTTCATTTTCACATTTGGGAAATGTTCAGTCATTGGTCAGCAGGAGGCGCTTTCACTGCAGAAACAAAGCGGTTTCCTCGGTAACGACTGTACACAGAGCAGTTTCTGGGCAGCTCATGTTTATTTAATGTTTGTCTGTGTTTTAGTTGGTTAGGTTTGTATTTCATTGTGTTCTATTTGTTGTCATAGATATGTATACATATCTGTTTATTGTGAGATGTAGTAACTATAGTAACCACGGCGCCCACTGCCGTATGTTGCCAGAAACTACCGTGAAACGCTTAATATAAACACTTAAGCCCCGTTCACACCAAGAACGATAACTATAAAGATAACTATAAAGATAACGATATTAGCGTCCACACCAGCGAACGATATCGTCTGTTTATTCTAAGCGCACGCGCGTCTGCCGCTTTAAATTCTTGAGCTCGTTACAGCAGGATGGATTCTGATTGGCTGTCAGTGTTTTATCGTTCATCAGCTGGAAAAAAATTGTTTTGAAAGTGATCACAACGATATCGTTCCTCTGTATCGTTATCGTTATAGTTGTGGTGTGAACTATGCAATTCTTTAATATTGAGAACGATTTTTAGAACTATATCGTTATCGTTATCGTTATCTTTATAGTTATTGTGCTTGGTGTGAACGAGCCTTTAGGTAAGGGTGACAGTTAAGATGTTTGTTGCAACGCTCCTAAAGAAATCCCTTACCGCAGGGATTTTTTCCCCCTCAGGGATACCCCTAAGTCAAATTACTTAAGGACTTTCATGCAACCGGGCCCAGAGTGCCTGAAGCTGGGAAAAAAAAGCAACTCTGAGCAGAAAAGGCGCCAGACGTCATTTCGCGTTTTTCCCATTGTCCAATCGAATGAACGGAGAGGCGGGCCTTCCATTGTGATAACGAAAGTTTACCGTTGCTTAGAAAATCTGGAGACTTCTATGATGGAGGAGAAACTTTTGGTGTCTGTCGCGGGTTACCCGGAGCAGTATTTTTTAGGATTGCTGTTAATATGACAGTTTACTTGACAGCAAAAACCAAAGATTTTAGAGCGCTTGAGCTATAATCCTTTGATTAGACTGACAGGACAGCTGATTTGGTGGTTGCCTAGCAACTTTAAAAAATGCAGCGCACTGCTCTTTTTTAAAGTCTCCATGAAATCAAAATTCAAGTTTTTTGGGTGTTAGTATCAATATGTTAGTCTTAAGGTTATCTATAAGTGCTTCAAAACAGTGACAAAATTCGCATTTAGAAGATATAAGCATTCAAAGCTTGCAGTTCGTCACTTCCGCCAAAAGCTCAACGATTTTTTGAGGTCACATCGTACTTCAGCTTCTCTAAACTTTCTGTCCAATCAAATGCTCTCTAGAATCCGAAGCGCCCGCCCCCTACACTATAAAATAGACGCTGAAGCCGCGGCTGAAATCGGTCACTTGTCCACAGAATTAGTATTTTCTGTACAGTGAATGGCACGTAGTGCACTATATAGGGGAAAGGGAACGATTCAAACAGTGTAAATAGGCTTTCCATTGAGGAAAAAAAGAAGTCTGGTTTCATGCTGTGTCACGCTAACCACCGCACCACACACACACACTCTGCTCCGGTCCAGAGACACGATAGCACGGAGCAAATCACATGCGCGAGTCGGCGCAGACTACAAAATGCATCAGAGCTATTTGAATTATACACAGAATGCTATATTTTATAGCAATATGGATAAGATTGTGGCTGGCATACCCTGTCAAATGCGGCTTTACGGAGCTCAACGGCTCTGAACGGCTCTAGCCCAAGCTGCGATATAAACAAACGCTATTGGCTATTTTAAAAAGGGGCGGGGCTGCTTGATATGTCCCGCCCTGTCTTCCTGTTTCAGTTCAAATGACGTCAACACATAGAGTAACGCTGCGTGTTTCTAAGCATTTCAGGGGACCTTTAAAAGTCAGTGAAAGTGAGGGAAGTTCCTCTGATTCAGTGAAGTAACTACTACAGTATGCATCACTTTATGGTTCCTGCTGACAAGTACAAGTAACAAGCTAAGTTTAGTGAAATGGTTTTGCTGTCTACTGTCTACATTTGGCATAGGTTTCGGTCACCACTGACTTCCCAATGCATGAAAAAACAACATTTTGCATTTCGGGGGAAGGGTCCATAGACCCTCGTAATTGGCCATTTGGTTAGGTGATGGGGAGTTCGATATTATTTGTTAAATATAACAAAAAGTTGTGTGTCTGATTGGTCCAAATGCTACATTTTTATCAAATATTTTGTGACCTTGTGGGGATATATTTTGGTCCCCAAAATATATATTTTTTTTTAAATCTAAAAATGCAGAAAGTTTTGTGTGAGGGGTAGGGTAATGGGATAGAAAATACAATTTGTAAAGTATAAAAAACCATTACGCCTGTTGAATGTCCTCATAAAACACATGGAAACCAGTGTGTGTGTGTGTGTGTGTGTGTGTGTGTGTGTGTGTGTGTGTGTGTGTGTGTGTGTGTGTGTGTGTGTGTGTGTGTGTGTGTGTGTGTGTGTGTGTGTGTGTGTGTGTGTGTGTGTGTGTGTGGGTATGACATATGTATTACAATGAGAAGGTGATTTATGAGGACATTTTGAGTGTCCCCATATTTCAAAAGGCTTATAAATTATTCAAAATGAGTTTTTATTTGAAAATCTAAAAATGCAGAAAGTTTCCTTTAAGGGGTAGGTATTACACCTGTTGAATGTCCTCATAAAACATGGAAACCAGTGTGTGTGTGTGTGTGTGTGTGTGTGTGTGTGTGTTACTTTCTTCTCAATGTCAAATTTCAGTAGAAGAACCTGAGGCAAAGACAAAGTCTCTTCAAAGTGAGAAATATCTTCGACCTTATGGGGTCCCATTGGAATTTTCTAAGGATGTTTGTAGAATCATTTGTTTCTGGTTGTCACTTAAGCATGTATTTCCTTACATACAAGCTTGTTAATAACTGACTGTAAGTTATTTACTAAATTACTGGCTTTATATTTAGAATTCACTCTTTCATTATACCTCAAAATAATAATAAAAAAGT